CCTGCTGGTATTTAGTCTTTTGGGTGTACTAGTCTGTTTCTAACTGTTGTGCATGGTTTTGTTGGTGTGTTTATGTTGTGTTTTTTCATTGTTGCTCTTATTTTTTCTGTTAGGCCTTTGATGTATCGTAGGGTTATCACTGGTGCTGGTTCTCATCTTTCTGGGTTTCTGGTTCTTTGCTTTGGTTGTTCTTTTCTTTCTGTTGTTGTTTGTTGTTTTCCTTTGTTTATTTCCCATGTTGGGGAGAAAAGGGCAGCAGAGGGCGACAACGTTCTCTGCTGCCCGCGGATAAACAGAGTAGGAGGTGACGCCACCATCAGCGTCAGCTCTGAGGATGTTCGCAGACGCAAACGAAACTGTCCGCAAGGTAAAGAGAAAACTTTCCTGTGTTTTAAAGAAGAACCAAAAATGGAATTAGAAGCCAACACAGAAAGAACGTACCAAAGAATTGGTGGTAAAATTGTTGGAAACTCAAAAATGAAATTGCTACAACAAAGGACATGCGTATTAAATGTGATTAATTTTCTTTACCAAACACAAATCTGCATTTTTCAGCCCTTTACAAAATATTCTTTCTAAATCAATCATTTGAAGCTCTTAGCTTCTGAACAAGTGTGTGTTGCTGTGGAAGAAGAGACATATTTCCTCTCAGTGACATTCCTGAGCCTACAGGCTGTGTTTATATGTAAGTGTGTTGTGGTGGGGGTGGGGGGAGTGCAGAGCAATGTGGAGCACATTGTATTGTGCTGCTGGTGTGTGAGGTCAGCACTTTCCTTCCCTGCAATCAGTCAGTCGTCCACCCGTCCCCCCACCCAGCCAGCCGCCTGCTAACAGGACAAGCCCGCAGCGGAAACCGGAGGTCACCTAATCCCTTGGTGACTCCTCGACCCGTTGGCTCAGGGCTTTTCATTGTCGATCAGTGCAGAGCGGCCTCGCTCAGCTGCTTTCCATTTTTGCCATCCTGGCCGATAAGTCTTTTTTTGTTTATGGGTGCATTTGGCCCAGCGTTGGCCACTTCCCCCGCTCAGGAAGCTGGTGACTGTAGCATCAGGTGTGGAACCTGTTGTTGACCTGCAGAAGTGTGATGAAATAGTGTTGTCTTTGCCACCTGGCTGTCTGGGACAGACATGCATCACATAAAAACTTGGAAAAACAACCACAAATCCTGTCAGGGTTTGACTTCTGGAATTTGAGCGATTCAGTCTGGGTTGTTTTGTGTTTTCAAACGCTATCTGTGTGCCTTCAGAACTTTCCAAGCAGGATTTGTACCTTCTTGTCTCCACTTTTCACCCCTGCATCCCTCCTCCCGTGTGTCTGTGGGGGAGTGAGAGGAGAAAGGGGATCAGGGGAATTTATTATGTTTGTTAACAGCCCCAGATGAAAGCCTGGGTGCCATTGTAAAACAGATGTAATGCCCTTACAGCTGCTCCATTGGTCAGCTAATCTTTTCGACTAATGTCCCCAACCCCCTTTCACAAACATCCAAACTTCCATCAGCCCCTTCACCCCTGGCTCATGTTACTTGTTGGTTCACCTTCCCCATCAGAGACGCCCTCTGTTCCCCAAATCCAGGTACCCCCGCATCACTAATTAGGTGTTGTCACCCTGCATATAAACGAAACGACGTGACATATTGCAATCAGGGCCAAGTCCGTCTGCTGCAGAGATGAAAAGAGGGGAAGTGAACCAACCGAGACAAAGGAAGCCCTCACTGGCCTCCAGAAGTGCTCCGATATAGATCTGACATCGTGTTTATTTCTTGGTTTTATTTTTCCAAGATCTTTATTACACTCTGACCGTACCTCTGCACTGAGCCTTCCTCCCTCTCCCTCCTCATCACTGTGAGCATGTGTTTGTTTTACTTGGCTAGTGACTCTGTGTAAGGCCACGCACAGTTTAACTCACAGCCACCCCGAGGCATACATGACCTCTCTGCCTTTTAAAAGCCCACCGCAGGACTCGATTGTCAAGGGAGGGGGGAGTTAGAACCCTCCTTCCACTCCTTCCTGATGTCCCGGGGGTGATTTCTGTTGTCAAGCCGCCATGTTACCCATTATTCCGTCGATACGAGCAGGCATTCATCACTGTCGCCGTCTCATCCATCTTAACTTTAGCTGACAAACCCGGGAAACTGGCGAGACTCCGGAGCCACTCGGGTTCCCTGAATGTAACCGGCCCCTGTGCTCTTTCTCTATAAACAAACACAGGGCCACTCAAGGCACACGGGGCCTCCCAAATGACAAACAGTTCTTTGTTTTATAACATTGGAGGGGGAAAAAATGGCCACTCTTACATTTTCAAATGTAACAGAAGTTTATGAGATCACTCATCTTGTGTGTTAGGAGCTCGTGTTCATGTTGGGCCAACACATTTCAGCTTCCCTCTCGGTTATTCCTCTGTCTCGGGCCTCTGTGCTGGTTCGTCTGTTGGCCCCTGCTCTTCCATTCTTTGATTGGCGGATTTAGGAAGGAAGGCCATGTCAGCCGCGCGCTTCCTGCTTCCTGTTGTGTCCAGCAACAATCCGAATCTCCCTCCACCTTCTCCGTGGAAAAAGGAAGTCGGCTTTCTCTGGACTTTCCTCCAAAGTCGAGAAATCCTCTTGTTAGATACCTCAGGAGTCAGTCGTCTACTTTCATTTACTCGCATTTGAGATAAACAGACTTGTTCACCTTTACAGTAAAGAACTTGGCTGACGCTGAAGCTGCACTCCAGGCGTTTGTGCTCCAGGCCTGCTGTTTGGTAGTGAGCACTGGAATGCATTTTAATTACAGAGGCAGCACACCGTTTTAAGGCCGTCATCTCCACAGGCCAGACCACGATGCACTGTAGCACTAAAAAACGGGGTAGTCCTTCTGTTCTGTTGCCATGTGGCATTTCAACTATTCCCATCTGCAATGCTTGAGTGTGTATTTTTTTTTTTATTCAGCATTTGAATAGCATGTCATTCTTCTTGCCTGCTGGTCAGTGGTGAATAGTAATGTTAATGGGTTAGCTGGGAGCCTTTATAGCAAAGACTGGGAGGAGAGAAAACGGGGAAGCGAGGAATTTGGGGATTACGAGGAGGAGAAGAAGGGGAATGAATCGGGGTTCGGGGCAACAGCTGTTCCCCCCTTCTCAATGCAAGTTTGCCCCGGCTCGTCTCCTTTCTTTCTTCTGTCCTCAGCAGGATACAGTGTCCCTCCTTTCCTTTCTTAAACCTTCTGTCCTTTCAAGCCACCTCGCCCGTCTTCTGCCCCATTCGTGTTAATGAGTACTGGTAGTTGTTAACAAAACAGCTGGTCAGTCAGGACACAGAAGTTCTGTCTAGAAGAAGGATTGAGTTGAATGCAGTCCTTGGTGGGGCTTTTTCTTCTTCTGCCACCATTGTTGTCGTGCATAAATACTACACACCTCCTCACATATGCTCTGTATCAGCCTGGGGAACCACAGTTGTATTTAAAGTCAAGCACAGTTAAAGTGAGGCTCATATTCGATCAAGTAAATCCCCCTTGATATGACCCAAATGGAGCTGCAGCCATGTGCTTCCCGTCTTGTGTGTGGTCACTTGTGGCTTCCAAATGAGCTTCGTTCAAGTGAGCGGCGCTGAGAAGGCAGCCGTAGACCCAGACAGTATCTCTGTCTTTGTCCGTGGGTCTGCTTCTCAACTAGCCTCTGCTGGAATCTGACCGTGCAGACCGTGTTTACCTTTGACTTAATGTTTCATAGCTTTTCCCAGACAGCTTGAACTTGAATATTTCACTTCAAATGCTTGATTTCATTTGGCCTGCTTGTTGTGTTTTCCACGATGTCCAATTCCTCCTCTTGCCGCAGTTTTCCTGATTTCCTGTGCATGTTTCTTTTGGTTGAAGTTTCTTTATCTTTTGATGTTTTCTGGCCCAGATATTGGCTCACGTTAACATTATCAACATCTTACAACGTTTGTCATGAGCTGTTTGAGCTCTCCGAGTAAAACCACATGGGCAGAATGAAGGAGATACGCATTTTTTAATGTGTGTGTCTGTGTGTGTGTGCTCATGCATGCAGAGGGACATGAACAGGTGATGGGCAGAGGGCTTAATCCCTCCCCTGATGTTGGAATACCCATGTGTCCAAGTGTGTGCTTTGCAAACATGTATGTGTATTTTGTGCACACATATGGCTGTTGTTGCCTGTGTGCAGTGCACACTTAAGCGTGTGTGTGTGTGTGTGTGTGTGTGTGTGTGTGTGTGTGTGTGTGTGTGTGTGTGTGTGTGTGTGTGTGTTGGTTTGGGGACGTAAGCAGGAGCCACTGGAATGCTCTTGCAGAGTTTAAGGGCAGCCGTCTCATTTTCACAGCCCTTTAAGAGTCACGCTCAACTGAATTTCACACTTTTAAGTTCACATTTCACCACCGCCACGCACAGCTAGATGTTCTACCTGCATTTCTTTATTTAGAGTTGGATGCGTTAAATCAGATGTCAGCTTATCTTGCTGATACAGTTTCAAAGAAACCATTTGGGTCTGAAATTATTAAAAAGTATAGCAGACTTCTGGTGATTTACTGTTTCTTGTCTCTTCTACTGCAGCATTGAAAACTGACTTACTGTTGTGGAATGTAGGAATACCGGTTGTGTTTCCTGAGATGGAGACAGCAGCAGAGGGGGTGGTGGTTGATAAAGTAAAGAGTAGGAGTACAAGCAAGACAAGGAGTCTGATTTTGTTTCAAGGCTGGGCTCTTGGGAGCTGCATTAATGGACAGGGTTTTATTGAGTGAAGTCAACACTCTGCAGAGTCCTGATCTGGTTTTTTCTTCCATCTCACCGTCACTTGTCTAAATGTGGTCTTGACACAATGGCACGTCCCCCTCGACCTCTCAGTGTTGCACTCTGGGGTGAAAAGTTCAAATCATTATTGGCCTTTCAGAAAGACCCGAAGGATCTTGAGGAACTGACTTCGCACTGTGTCATTTAGGGTGCTGTTAGAAGACTCTATGGTCTTTGTTTGGATGATAACCAACCACAAATGTCATTTTCACTTTGCAGAATGTCAGCCAGGCTTCTTCAAAGCCGATGCGTCCAGCAGCAAGTGTGAGCCATGTCCTGACAACACCCAGAGGCTGAACCCGGGGGCTTCGTTTTGTCCCTGCATGGCCGGCTTCTACCGGGCTCACACCGACCCCATCACTGGACCCTGCTCAGGTGAGGAGAGTGCAGAAATGAAAAGGAATTGAAATAATTTCTAATTTCTTTCTACTTTGCTTTGAAAGTGCAAGACCTTTTTGTAACTTTTAAATCCGTTGGATCCTAACGTCTCGTGTTTTTTCGTGATCCATTCTCACCAGGACTCCCCTCTGCCCCTAAAGATCTGGAGGCCACTTCCAATCACCTCCCTGCAGGAAAACTACTCCTCTCCTGGAACCCTCCGGAATACACCGGAGGTCGAGACGACATCACCTACAGCGTTTTGTGCCAGCGTTGTGAGAGCTTCGAGTGCAAGCCCTGTGGAGAGAAAATTCGCTACGATCCAGCCAGCATGGGTCTGACTGTCACCAGGGTGTCGGTGAGCGAGCTGGACGCTCACTTCAACTACACCTTCACGGTGGAGGCGCACAGTGGCGTGTCTGTGCTCGTCAATGAGGCAGCACCCCGAACTGCCCGGCTGTCCTCCACCACTCTGACTACATCCCTGCAGCACACAGGTGAGCGATGCTGATATGAGGCAGTGCCAGGATGCTACAGTAATCCCTCGTTTATCGCGGTAGATGCGTTCCAGACCTGGCCGCGATAGGTGAAAATCCGCGAAGTAGGGACTCCCAGCATGCCCCTCGCGGGGATTCCCTCCACGTCGCACCTACGTCACAAACCGCGGCTGTAAACGGAAGTCGCCTTTCCAGCTCACCTCTCAGTCATCGTTTCTTCGGATTCATGATCAGAGTTTCCAACCTACCGATCAATCCAACGAACTTTCAGCTCATAGCAAGTTATCTTACTTACTTCTGGAAAGCCCGGCATTTCCGTGTCACTTCGTTGACGCTCGAACGCTCGGGGGTTTCCTAAATCAGCCAGCGTTTCACCGACGCTCTCACTTCCGCGTCTGTGAAACCACGCTCCCTACAAGCTCAGCTCCCGAATCCAGCCGCCCTGTCTGACATACAGTACTATATTGAATTATCGTATGATCACATTCTCTTTTTGTGGGTAAAACTCAAGAAAAAAGGTTTTTACTTGTTTTTTTTTTTAGTTTTATTACAAAAAGTGCATTTTCTGATGAAATTGATGAAAAAAACAAGAATTTCTTGATATTTCGCATAGAAAAATACCGCAAATCTGCGAATTCCCCCTGAAAAATGCTCCAAAGAAAAAATCCACGAAGCAGCGAATCCGCGATGAACGAACCGCGAAGTAGCGAGGGATTATTGTATCTCTGCAACTCAACTGTGTTCTACATGAGGGGAAACGAACAAGAACGCGGTCTTATTCTCCACTTTCGATAAAAATCCTCAAACGTGATCTCGTTTGTCCTCAGATCCACCCAGAATAGCCTCCATGCGACTGGTCGAACGGGACTCCACCAGTTTGTCCCTTTCTTGGGACGTATCCCCCCGACAGCTGGTCCAAAGCCCATCTGTCCACTATGAGCTTGCCTACCGCAAGAAGGTGAGCAGTCTTTAATTTCCTAACGAGTGTCCTGAACCTCACTTCACATGTCATCTCACGAGTTAAGATAAGCTTTGAATGGTAAGCGTGTCATTTAAAAATGTCCGTTCTTGATCTGATTGTTTCCTAGAAACAACATTCGAAACACGGCTGCTGTCATAAATTTACATCCCTAATTTAAATGTAAAACCTGCCTGCAGTCTCCATCTGCAGCCATGACACTGGATTAATGAATGAGTTTATTTTTAATCTCGTTTCCCTCCCAGGACAACAAACTGGATGTGACTACATACGTTGTGCTCAAACTGGAGAGGAGCTCTGTAAAGATCAGTGATCTGGCTCCGGGCACCGCCTACCTGGTCAAGGTTCAGGCTTTTAGCAGCGACGGGAGCTCCGGAGGATCCAGCGTGGAGGAACAGTTTGAGACGCTCTCTGATGGTAAAGAGTGGAAACTACATAAGTTACTTAATTCAGGAGTTGGATCTGAGGTTTATTTCTAAATATTTTTTTTTTGCAGAGCACCTTAATAAAACCGGAGTGATCCTCACCTCGGCGGTTGGAGGAGCGATCATGCTGCTCCTGGTGATTGTGATTCTGGTCCTCTGCCGACGGTGAGGAACTGTCTCACCGTGCAGCTCTCCTCGTCTTTCTGTTCCGATAATCTGTCACAATGCCCCATCCTTCAGTGCCTTCCTGTCTCATTCTTCTGCTTTTCCTTTGTGGGGCCTCCACATGCTCTTTGCATTCACTCTGTCCTCACCCCTTTCTTTCTGTCTTCCTTTAGCCGACCGTCTCTTTCTCTTTATCTGGATCTGTGTCCCAGCAGTCACCGGGGAGGAATTTGTGTTGAATGCGTCTCGTCGTTGCGCAGTGGCCACATTCGGCTGAGTGTTCGGGGCCTTTGAAAGGAAATTAGCCCAGAGTGGAGCATTGTTGTTAATGAGAGGCGTTTGGTTCTTTCTGTACGAGGTCACGGGCACTTTGTGAAGAATGACCCGAGCCTGTACTGTAGCAGCTTGTAGCCTGTCCATCCACCTCCTTGTCCTGGTTTGAATTGGCTTGGCAAACACAGTCTATAGTCAGACTTTATCAAAGGAACCCTTCTGTCTGAATGCACACATTGCACCAGTGTCTGGATGCTATTCTAAGCCCAGAGCATCCAGAGAAATAGTTCTACGTGCCAGTGATATAAAATCAGTCACTTCAGTGATGGTAATTTGCAAATTTGTTTTACTTTTCCCCAGAAGAAGCAACTCTCACGCTCGACAAGGACCAGAGGATGCCTACTTTTCTAATCCAGGTGAAAAAAAATTGTCTAACTTTGTCGTCTAGCTTTGCTATTGATTTTATTTTTACCTTACAATTATCTTTCTTTGGTTTGCAGAGCAATTAAAGCCGCTGAAGACCTACGTGGATCCGCATACATACGAGGACCCCAACATAGCTGTCCTCAAGTTTGCCACTGAAATCCACCCGAGCCACATAACCAAACAGAAAGTTATTGGAGCTGGTGAGTGACAACCCCGCTGAGATAATCTGCTGTGGGCCTTAACACCAAGCTGCTGAAAGATCTTCCAATCCTTAAAAAAAATCTGTTTATGTTGTGCATTTTGCACAGCTCAACAGGCTGACTGACGGTGCTTACTTCAGTGAGATTAGCATCTATCTCGCTGGCTTCTCACAGAACAAGTTCAAACTTTGAGTGTGTGTGTTTGTGTGTGTGTGTGTGGCAACTCCTGGCTGTGATATCTCGCTTTGTATCTTGGCAGGAGTTGATGCAAACATTACACAAACGAAATTGCTGCAGAAACATTGTTTTTGGACGGATATCAATTCAAATTCAATTCAATTCAAAAATACTTTATTAATCCCAGAGGGAAATTAGAGTTTCAGTACACACAATTCTGAGATCAGACATACACACATAGACACATGACAAGAATTAGTGACTGTGGTCATTCGCAACACGAGTCGCGCTACCGTAATAGATCAAGAGGGTTTATATGAGGATTGAGTCAGAGGGAGGGAAAAAAGGCACTTCAGAGTTACCCCCGACAGAGAGGGCAGCTTTGCTATGCAAGAAAACACCTCAGACAGATATGCACACAGACTTCAGACATTACACAACATAAGTGTCCACTAGGTGGGGAGGTAGGGTTGGGACTCTCCTCACTTCAGTGCGTGCAGCCACATGGAGCAGCACTCATCACCTCCGTTTGGACAGGGGGGGGAGATAATGGGTTAGAGGGCATATTGACTCCTAAATACGGTTCCACGGCCTTCACCGGTCACAGTCCTGCCCAGGCTGGGATAGGGAGAAAGAGTTTCCATAGCGACGGCAACATTCCACATTTCTTCTGAGGGGAGTTTACACTTCAGCCTCACAGGCTCCAAGGGCACCAGATTTAGATAATTGTTTTGGGGACAGAGATAATTTCCTCTCTGCCTTACTGTTCTGTTGGTCTTCAACTCCTCTAGATCCTATAATGGCGTAATTAATCAATCCCAACCGCGCTGTCCCGTCAACTCTGTCTTTGATGGAATCCACCTTTTGTGCCAGAGCCTGAATCTCAGCCAAAGTTCCAAGCTTACGACTTAACTCGACAATTATATGAGTTTGTGCGTTCACAGCACGATGCATTCCATCCCTGAGCTCCGGGATTGAGCCAGTATCCCTCGAACGCTCATTAATTTTCCAGTAAGCCAGGTAACCGCTCAGGTCAAAAAGCAGGAATCCCGACACCAAAACGACGAATATCCAAACATCTTCAGAATCCTCTACAGACAGTTGAGAGAGGCAGATCAGGTTCCACTGTTTCCAGGAGTCCACGATATACCCAGCTGGCTCAGAGCACCTTCCTGAGCTCGGCTCTTTTTTCCCCCCTCTCTTTTTATTGGGGATACGTTTATTCAAGTGCGACCACCTTTTACCCTTTGAACCAAAAGCCTTGTCCAGCCCTCCCAGCTCCCACGGCCATATGCCCTCCTTTCTTCTCATGTGACAGCTGATTCCCAGGCTCCCACACAACAGGCAGTCTACCTTTTACACAATGTTGCCTCTTTCAAAACACCAAGCTCGAACACACCTCTGTGAGAGCGCTTCAGGCAAAACAGACGCTGATACTTCCTCATTTTCTTTTTTTTGTTGTCCCGCCAAGCCCTGCAGCTAGAAACTTAAGATGACACACACATTCATTTGATATCAGTTTTATATATCAACTGTTCCGCTGATGGTCTGTTTCCTGCAGGGGAGTTTGGGGAGGTGTACCGGGGGATTTTGAAAGGCCCTGGGAGGAAGGAGGTGGCCGTCGCCATCAAGACGCTGAAACCTGGCTACACCGAGAAACAGAGGCAGGATTTTCTGAGTGAGGCCTCCATTATGGGTCAGTTCACCCACCAGAACATCATCCGTCTGGAGGGGGTGGTCACTAAGTGTAAGGCATTCCTTGAATTGGTTTAAAGCTTTTTGGTTTTACTTGATTTTTACAAAACTGAATGTTCTTCTGCTCTTTTTTTGCAGTCAAGCATGCAATGATTGTGACTGAGTACATGGAGAACGGAGCGCTGGATAGATACCTGAGGGTGCGTCCGCCATATTTGTCCAGATACAGAACCTCATCGATCTTTTTCAAAAATACCTCTGGTCTCAAATGACAAGAAATTCCCGTTTCCCTTTTAGGACCACGATGGTGAGTTCACGTCTTACCAGCTTCTGGGAATGCTTCGGGGCATCGCTGCTGGCATGAAATACCTGTCTGAAATGAGTTACGTCCACCGTGATCTGGCTGCCCGGAACATCCTCGTGAACACCACCCTGGAGTGTAAAGTCTCTGACTTTGGCCTGTCCCGAGTGCTGGAGGACGAGCCAGAAGGGACGTACACCACAAGTGTGAGTAGATTTGCAGCAGAAATGAAGACTTTCTTCAGATATGAGGGTCTTTAGAAGAGTTCATTTGTAACTTTTGTTTGGTTTCAAAGAGAAGGTTCACTGAGAAACCCCTTTTTTTTTTTTTTTACTTATTATTTTATGAAAATGATGACTCATTTTGAGTTTAACATGCAGGCTGAACATGAAAAAAGTCTTCTACCCCAATTTCCTGCATTAGCTTCTAACAGAAAACGGACGGTGAAACTTTAGTATTAGATAATCCTGACAGATCTACGTCACACTGTCACTTAACATTCGTGGACTCGCCCATCTTGACTCACAACGGAGAAGACCGTTGTTGGTTTAGCGTCCAGGAAGCAGCAGAGAACATCCCAGCTAGTAGAAGCTAACCGTTAGCTTTGACAACTCCACCACACAGCAGAACCCCTTCGTGTGTGTGTGTTTTTTGTGGAGATGAAGCATCAACGTTGCAGAGTAAATGCAGTCAGCGATAGTCACATTGCTGTTAGCCAATCAGAGGCACGATGTCCATATAACAGGAAATAGGACTTCACATTCTGCCGTGTTATGCCACTTAGTTGAATTCTGTTAATTTTTTAAAGAACTTTTATTGAACCTTTGCAAAACTAACAAAAGCGACTACATTTCAAAATTTGTTAGCAGAATGACATTACAGAGCAGCTCCGAAGTTCGTGTTCATCTCAGCTTGCATTTTGTAGATACAATTCAACTTGGTATAGTAAGAAGACAATAAACAAAAACAACAACAAAAAAATCAAACAAAAATAGAACATGAAAGGATACAAGTAAGACAGCATGAAAAAACAAATTATGTGTATATAAATAAAGTTTTACAAGGGGGAAGTCAAAGAGCAAACAAGGTCTATTGTGTATACCATCCAAAAAGCGGTTAGAGATTAGTGTTCATAATGAAATCATAAAGCTTTATAGCATTGGGGATGGACATTTTACCGAAGGATCTCAACAGCAGTTTAATTTCATTTTTGAGATTATTCCATGTAGGTGGATTTTTGAGATATCGGCATTTGTGTATGAAAAATTTTGTTAAGATTATGAGATTATTAATTAGAAATTCATTATTTTTATCTTTTAGTATAATGCCAAATAAGATATCTTCAACTGTGAAATTGTTTATATAAATTTGAATGGAGTTCAGCCAATCCTGGAGTGAATTCCACATCATTAAAATTTTATCACATTCATAGAAAAGATGTTTGGTCGATTCATAGTTTTGTTTGCGTATGAATAGGACCATTTGAGTTTTTTTCCCCAGAGAACAACCTACAAGGCATTCATTCCTACTAGAGACCCCTTCAAATGGATTAAAAGTAGGAATAAAGTTGACCTTTAACCTCAAACTTGTGTTTTATTTGAACAGGGAGGTAAGATTCCCATTCGCTGGACAGCACCAGAGGCCATAGCCTACAGGAAGTTCACCTCAGCGAGCGATGTGTGGAGCTTTGGCATCGTCATGTGGGAGGTGATGGCATTTGGTGAAAGACCTTATTGGGACATGAGTAACCATGAGGCAAGTTGCACTTAAATCCTGAACTATGCCACCATCAGTGAACAAACATTATAATAAATCAGCTGATAACCTCTTTTGCAGGTGATGAAGGCGATCAACGAGGCATTCAGGCTCCCCGCACCGATGGACTGTCCATCTGCCGTCTACCAGCTGATGCTTCAGTGCTGGCTTCAGGACCGCTCTAAGAGACCGCGGTTCGGGGACATCGTCAGTCTGCTGGACAAACTTCTCCGCAGTCCAGACTCGCTGAAGACCATTGCGGACTTTGACCCACGGTGAGATTTGTTTAATTATCAGGCAAAAGGCTCGTAAAGTTTGTTTTTCTGGCAGGGACTCTTAAGATCCTGGAGCTTCTGCCACCATCCACACCTGGTTCTTGGACATCAACCTGAAAGCAAAACACTTTGGAGTGGGGATAGTCTAAATGTGGACTTTATCCACAAATTTTGGCCGGCTTTTAAGAATATTCTAGCTGTTACCGGTTCATGCACACTAAAACTCTTAAAATAAACAGTCCAAAGGGGGAATTGGAAAATAAAATGATAAATGACTGAAACTTACTTTTCTTACATAAACATTTTTTGTCTCTTAAATCTTGTCATGCAAATAAACTCTGATAAAATTAATGAATAACTTTTAAAATAATAGGTTATGAGGCGAAAGGAGAACAGCTTCAGGACAGAGTGACACTGAAAGCCAGGCTTGAATCAAAGTAGATAAACTGTCAACTTCTCACCAAGGCTTTCTTGCTGAGCTGTGGTGGCCTCATGGAGGGGGCCATCGACTAGCACACTGCTGCTAACCACTTAAACATTCTCTCTCTCCTGATAATAACTTTTTGGTTTCCTTGACTTTTGATGTGCTACTACTAGTTTATCCGTTTAATTATAGATTCACTAGGATAAATGCAATAAAGTTTATCTTTCACCAAATAGAATATTTACTAAGACATCACAATATAACTGTAGACACATTACTTGTCCGTGTGTGTGTGTGTGTGTGTGTGTGTGTGCGTGTGCGTGTGTGTGTGTGTGTGTGTGCGCATGTGCATGTGTGTGCGTGTGTGCTCTGTCTTCTCGATCCCCAGTGAGTCGTGGAGGATGGCTGCTTATACTGAGCCAGGATTCTCTGGAGGTTTCTTCCTGTTAAAAGGGAGTTTTCCTCTCCACTGTCGCTTTATGCTTGCTTGGTATGAGGATTTCTGTATAGTCACTGACACTAGTCAGTGACTTGATGCAATTTGCTGGGTTCCTTATATAGGAAACATTATTTCTGATTGGCTTAATGAACTGAACTGAATTGGAATTTTTATTATGTGAAGTGCCTTGAGACAACTCTTGTCGTGATTTGGCGCTTTATAAATAAACTTGAATTGAATTGAATTCTATTTGTGATTTTGTGAATGAATACACGTTTTTTTCCCTTTGTGAAAAATAACAAAAAGCGTGTCATGCTCGAGTTCTAATCTGCTCAAACTTGGACCTTCCCAGCCGGTTTTATCACCAACTGGTTTCCTGCTCTGTAATTACAACCCTCAGCCATCTGCCTCTGCTGTGGGAAGTGCCGATAATCATCCGTTCATATATTTGTTTTTCTTCTCAGAGTGTCCATCCGCCTGCCCAGCACCAGCGGCTCAGACGGTTCGCCCTTCAGGTCGGTGTCTGAATGGTTGGAGTCCATCAAGATGAATCAGTATGTGGAGAACTTCACTCTGGCGGGGGTCATCTCTATGGACCAGGTTCTGCAGATGAAGACTGAGTAGGTGTCTGTTTGCATGACATTCATTTTATTTGATTGTTTCTTATGGAAAAGTACCAAACCTGATATCAAAAATGTTTGAAGCAGGAGAACTGTCGAGGCAGAAACCACCAGAGTTGAAAGAACAATTTGTTATTTGACAAAAGCTTTATTCCCCCCGGCCCCTCCTTTCAGTATCAATGAACTGGTCTGACATCTCGTTTTGCGCCTCGATACGTTTGCTTTACAAATTAAGCACTATGGTAACATAATAGACACATTTTCCCTGACTCAGACGCAAATCAGCAGTAAAGCATTTCATGCAGCTGGATTTGCGAGGTCACAAAAGCTACAAAATACTAAGAGTTGCAAGAACTTGCGGGACTTAAGCCTGGTTTATGCTTCTCTGTCTGCTCCGCAAGGGACAGACACGCACGGATTGACGGAAGCGTTTTGCCCTCATACTTCTCCGTCTCCTGGAGAGTGTTGCAAAGCAATTCCCCGGCAGGACAACAGAGGGCGTAGCGCTGTTCTGTGGTATCCTGTCATGTATCGGTCCAAGATCGTGTGTTTATATCGTGTTTTTTGTGTATATAAGAGACTTTTAACACGGACATATTTGTCTCTCATTCTCCCACCTCTTCATGCGCTCCCCACCTCTAAACCCACGTTTCCCGTCATTTCCGTCCACAAATAAAACGCTTGCTGCGCATCTTTTCACTCCTCCAGTCACGGGAGGATGAAACGTTCATATTTTTAGAGTTTTTTCGCGAGGTATTCTTCAAGCTTCTCCGTGTCTGCCGCTAGTTATCCTCGGCTCTCTTTGCGATGGCGGCGCTGTAAACAACCGCGGCGTCCTGACCAATCACAAGCTTGCATAATCCGTCTCATTCGACAGATGTTTAATAAAGTGGGCTCGACTCCGTACGTACTTGCGTGCCTGCCGGAGCCCTACGCATGGACGGATAATGGCGTTGCGTGTGCTCCGTACTGACGCAGACGGAGAAGCATAAATCAGGCTTTAAGCAGTTCACGCGAGTTCACAAGCCAGGAGAAAGATGGCCGCATGTATCCTAAAAGGTCTGTGGTTACTTTTCTGTTATTTTTACCTCAGCCACTGAGGTTTCACAGGTGACGATACATTTTCCTTTACTAGTTCAGCAATAGCAAATCTGCACGTGTCTTTTATTTTAAAAGTTCTCTGATGTTTTACACTTCTTCCATGTTTGACTTCCTGAAGCGTTATGGAAGCATAGAGCATAAAAAAAGACTCGCAGCGTCTTTCACGGCTGCATTTTACGCTTCGCAGCGCGGAAAGCTGGGGTTAGCTCATCACCTGTAGGATGCAAAAGCCATTAGCACGCTATTAGCAAAAGAATGATTGAAAAATAAAACTCCCATCTTCCCTGATGTGTAAAATTCCTGCAAGAGGCAATTCTCAAATATTTAAGATGAAAAGAAGCGTCCCAGTCGAGCTGATTTAAGGTTCCTTTTAAAGAATAAGAGACTTTCTTAACAAAATGAGCAACCAAAACAAAGCCCCACCTTCTTTCCATGATTATACGTATAACTGCCGTAATCTTAGGAAGACAGCAGGGACGAACTCTTTTGATGTATTTGTCGTACAGTATGGTGTGATTTCAGGGCCCCATGTTTCCATCTCAGGGCATCTGGTAGCACTCTCTGAAAACCACCACTCATTTACGATCCACCCCTCTGCCTGCCAGACAAGTGATTCATGGTCAACAGGGAGAATCCTCGTTAAGCAATTAAGGCTGTAATTAAGGCTGAGGACTGGTGTTTATGCAGGTTTTTGCAGGTTTGCATCATGTGCTGCTTATGCAGCGCTAAGCCTCCAGTACCGCTCCCGATTGTTGAAGGAGAATTAAAAACTTTGGCAGATGACAAACATGGAATGCACCCCACCTAGCCGAGCTGGTTCACGCTCACTTGGATGTATTCGGCTCCAGGCTGGCGTTTCATCGCTTTGAATGAGTCAGTGATTACTTCAAGGCAGGAAGGATGTGTGTGGAAAGAGTTGGAACGAGTCCAGGGTGAAAACCCACGTGCAGCTCTCCCTAAACGCTATCATGTCTCTCTTTCACAGGGATATTAGGAAAATCGGAGTGAGATTGCCGGGCCATTTGAAGCGGATAGCCTACAGCATCCTGGGTTTAAAGGACCAGACCAGCACTTTGAGTGTGTTTGCGGTGTGATCCTTACAATGAAGGGAGCTAAAATTGGGACAGAGCAGCAGGCAGCCCTTTGAACTCTGAACTGAGCTGGAGTAGGACTGCGGAGGACGGCTTTGGATCAACAGAACCGAGACAACCGTGCCACCCTTTGGGCCAAATGAGTCGGATTAACTTATTGTACATTATTAAACTCTTTTTTTCATCAGGGAATGGAGCAAAAACCACACAAATGTGTCAAATCTCCTTTTTTTTGTATGGAAATATTTGATTGCTCCTGCCTTTTTTTTTTAATATTTATCAATTTCTGCTTCACAAAAGTGAACAATCAGGCCTTTTCAGCCTCGATAACTTCCACCCTGTGTTTGTTCCAGACAGAATCAAACAAACGGGAGGAACTTTCTATAAATGAGCAGCGGAGCCCAGTCATGGTTCCGTTTGTGGTTGGTGCTGATGTCAAAGAATTTCCCGTTTTTTCCGGCACTTTGCTCCATTTCCTGTCAGGACGGAGCGTTGTAGAGCTGAAATGAGCTCAGGTTCGCCCAGAAAGAAAAAAAAAACCTGGTGATGTTTCTGGCTTCCTTCTGCTTCTAAGCAGAAATTAAGCTATGATCTTTTTTTTGAGTGATGTTCATTAAAGAAAAAGACACTTATGAGGTACTCTGTGTACAGATTCACATTTGAATCCCTCTTTTTAATTTTCCCGGTTACTAAAAACCTTAGGAATATGCACTTGGATCAAGGATTGCTCTCTTTTTGTGGGTGAATTGCAAGCAGTTATTCTCAATGATAGTGTCAAAATCAGAATATAAGTGGAAATAAAGTGGTTAAGCGTAACCCTCCTCCTTTCTGAGTCTCTTTCCCGGAAGTCCTCATTTTCTCATAATTTTGCAAACTTTTCCAGGATATTTAGAGCAATCCTTTGACACTCGTAAGCTTTCATATATTTAAATAGATATTAAAGTGCCTCTTTATTGTGCTCTTAATGGATGACTGCAAATCTCTGTGTTACTGATGAACTCCTTTCTTTACTTGAATTTTTACTGTATTGTTTAAATGTCTAATTCTGTTGTAGCTGAGAGACCCAATGCTTTAAAATAAAGGGATTTTTATTTTTTTAGTTTTCTGTTGTTTTTTTTTTACTGGTTGGAGTTTCATTTTGTAAATTCTGTATAATTCTCAGTATTAATCGTGTCTAAAACTGGTTTATTTTTCTAAGCTCACATCACTTCCTGATTTCCAAATTTTCTTCTTCAAAAGAGCAAAACCCTTTTCTTCTGCAGACTCCTGACCATTTGCCTACTGTTTTATACTGTATTTAATAGTCTTATTTATTTTTACCTTTTTATTTATTCGCCCAGATAAACACTGAGTTGGGTTTATAGTTGGTGGCTGTTCATTAATCAACAATAATGAGAAGAAACATGTTCCTGTTCGTGTCTGAGATTGCATCTGTGGAAAAATAAAGTCAAACTGAGTTCTTTGAACGTCTTCTGTGTGAACAAAATGCTTTGTTTGTGATGTTTATAGAGCTGGGATGTTTATACTCCTACCTGGGTTTGCTTATAATGCTGCAGAGTGGCTTTAATTCCAAAACTGGAACCTGAAATAAACATTCAAGTGCTTCATTACATCAAGGAAACTGAAAGCCACGCAAGCAAATACGCACAAACGAGCATAAAAAATACAAAACCTTTCTAAGTAAATCGACCCAAAGATGGAAACGTGACGATCGCAGCTATGGTTGTGACAATTAAAAACTGGTCAAACCTTTTGTAACTGATGCTTAGGAATGATTTGGTGTAGTAATGCTTTAAAATGTTGTGTAAACCAAAGAAAATGCATTTAAATGTTCCACAAAAGAGGGATGTGTGAGTTTTGAGGACCTGGCCTCAGCCAGGATAAACATCTCTGGGATCAGCGTTTTCCTAAGAACAGCCAGAAGCTCCTAAAAACACACTCACTGAATGTTTTGCTGTAGGGTTAGGGTCAGATTCAAGAGTTCCAGGAAGTAAAAAAAACATCCTCCTTCAGTTCACGTATTGTATTATTTGGAGAGGCAAAACTTCTCATTTGCTTTGTGGGCTACAGTGTGGTGATTTTGTCTACATGAAGTTTTGAGGTTCTCCTATAGAGGAGATCTTTCTTTCCGCCTTCGTGCCTCGATCACAAAAAGTGATCTGAAGCTATTTTGATTAGTTAATAATTTGTAAGTTTGTATGTCCAAAGTGAGGCCTGGGGGCCACTTGCAGCTTTCTCAATGGGGAATTTTGTCCCCCCAGTAGGCTAGTGATGTAAAGTGATTCTATTTTTGGTGGCAATGGCGGCTAGGAATTTGTCCTTTAACCTGAGGGTTGCCAGTTCGAATCCATATTGCTTGCTGATTATGCGTACGCATGTTTACAATGATTGACTCACATAACTTGCATCCATTTGAAGCTTTGTTTCTGTGCGTCTTCCAAAAGTAATACGACTTGTTAGGAAATTGCAATATACGAGTAACCAGGTGGAGTTGACAAAACGAGCAGGACACACTCACCATGGTCACTCCTACTCTGGTTTAAATGTGTTTCATACCATCTACGAAACCACTGCTGTCCTTTTTTTTCCTGCCATGATCTTAAAGTTAACCAGTTACTGATCTCTTCTACTGACACTATTTAAAGAGCAAGTCACCCCCAAATCAACTTTTTCTTTCTGATAAACTATATAGATGCGTGTCAAATCGTGCTGCAGTCACGTGCCGTTATTAGTTCTGCACTTCAGTGCATTTTAGTTAAAATTTTAATTTTCTGCCTAAAACTGTCAGTGTTGTGCCGTTGTCGGGTAAAAACTCTGCACTGCATTTGAATTTAAATCTGCCATCGCTATTGGCTAAGAGATACCCTAGAACGTTAGCGGGTACCATATGATGTCACAGCGTCGTTGTGAGCCTGTGTGTGTGTATTTGTTAGTGGCTCCTCCCTCTCAGTCTGCTAGGCAACAGCATTTGTTGCATTTTTCAAACAGGAAGTGGGAGCGGAGTAATACTCTGGTAGGGGGTGACTAGCTCTTTAAGTTTTCATTGTACTTACAAACCCAGGACTCTATCTGGTCTGTGTTCTCTACTGTGCCCCCTAGTGGAACACTCCAGTACTACATTCAATGTAGCAGCAAGTATGTGAACAAAGACACGGTTTGCTGCCCGCGTCAACAGAGGTATATTCCCGGTGTTCTGACTATCCGTGCTTCCCCATCAAATATTCCTACCGCAGTGTGTTTTGACAGTTTTGCTCTTGTTTACAGTTCAGTAACACACTTATTAACCCTTTGGTGCATAATGGTCACTACAGTGGACAGGTACTCAAAATTGTTATTTATTTGTTTTTGCTATTAAGCACAGCTGTTGGAGACTTTATTGCATTTGAGCCCCTCCATTTGGACTTCAGTGAGTCAAGCCAGCTTATGTCATGTTCAGAATGTATGCTGTCCACTGAGGTGGACATGTAATAAATAATTTGTAAATTATAAAATTTTACAAAAAATATTTGTTGAAATTTGTTTAATTCACACCTAAAGACGAATGACAAATTGTTAAAAAAATCATGGTTGAAGATTTCATAATTCATGCATCAAAGGGTTAAGCACGGTTTATTATAAATAGGTGATATTACTCAAAAATACAGAACTGTAGTGTAGTTATTAGCAAAAATACACAATGTTTGTTGTGGTTTATTTATGAAAAAGACTGTTTGTCATAATTCTGTGAATGACGGTCAACAATGGGAGAAATGTATTGTTTACAGTATAATAATGATATTTTACAAGCCATTCACAAGCTAACTGTCAGGTAGACATGGCAGTAATATAACAACTTCCAGAGTTAGCGTCTCTTCAGATAAACAGCCCGTGACGTAGTAGTAATCGGTCTGCACATGCACATTTCCCCAAACCAGCACATACTGGAATAGCACGGATAGTCGGAACACCGGCCTTACTCTCCTTGTCTTCTGGCACCTGTAATGTAGCTCATCACCACCAGCGTGTGAATGTGTCTTATGTGGAAATATTTCGGAGAAAAAAAAATCACCATAAAATATTTTTCGTAATTCTTTTGATGGAAAAACATAAAATTTTTGTGGCCAGTGAGGATCACTAACTTGATGATTTTGACCCTTATCTTTAAAAGTTTGGACATTCCTGTTGTGAACAACAGATTAATCATTTGATAGAGAAATCTTATTTTATTTATTTATCACGTTTTGAAGCTTTTGTTGAATTTAGCTAGCGGGGAAAAACAACTAATGAACTAAATTCTATAAAATATGGTGACGCTTGTTCAAATTAATGTTATAATTATTGTAAATATAGTTATTGTTATTGATTTTTAACATTTCTATGACTTTAACTCTTATTTCTCCAAAAGAAAATGCAGTATATTGGCCATTGCTTTGATGTTGTTATGACCTTTAAAGGGTTAAGTATAATAGTGTTTTAAAGCTAGATGACATTATTTCGATTTTAGAGTTTTGACTGAAACATTTCTTTGCTTATATTTCCTCTTGACTGACTCTTTATCACTCCTCTCACTGATTCCTGTTGTATTCATCGTGTCGGCCATTACTAAGTTCCATACTTCAGGATGGATCAAAACTGGGAGAAGAAGGGATGAATTCATGGGTGATAAAACAGGAATGTTAGTGGGTGGTGTTTAGAGTACAACTAGTCGTAAAACATGGTGAGTCATAGTGTGTTAATCTGAAGGCTTATGCATGTTTCATGTTGAGACACATCACTTGGGTTCTTTGTGCTTTAAGATAAGATTTTGTGTTGCTAGAATCAGAAGATATATTTATTTGCAATGAACGTGTGTGTGTGTGTGTGTGTGTGTGTGTGTGTGTGTGTGTGTGTGTGTGTGTGTGTGTGTGTGTGTTTACAATGAACCATCATGGTGATTTTTTTACGCCCTGATCAAATAACAGCAAAGTAATGCCATTTTCCACACAGCCAGTCTCAGGAATCGCATCAGCCTCCGACGGGTAAAGATTATCTGGGTCCCTGAGCTCCGCCACTACAAACTAACAAAAATCCGAAGGAAGCACGTCTCTGATGAACATTTACTCTTTTTTTAAATTACTGAAACAAAAGTTTACAGGAAACAAGCCAAATGTGTCGTTGGGAGGAAGTTTCTCTTCATGTTTCATTTCTCACACCTGCGAATGCCAATAAAAGCTATTATCATGAGAATCTGGCGAGTCTTTGCATGCCCCTCGTTCCATTCTTTCTTCACCTTGACTGAATCACCTCGTCTTCCCTCTCTGACCTTGTGACGAGGAATTCCCCGGTGCCGTGCATTCTGGGAATGATCAGCTTTGACTAATTGATGCAGGTTACAAATCCTTAAAAGCCCTCCTCGGATAAGATCCGAAGAGGAATGTCAATACTAAAGTGTTGAATGAATCAGTTAAACAGCACAGACAGACTCCAGTGCAGATGGAGCATGGGAATTTTGTTTCTCCTGAGGCTTTTGTCCTCGACTTCCAGCTGGCTGGATGCTCTTGCCTCTGTTGCACCAGTAAGACGCCCAGAAATAGTGCTGGCTTAATGTGGCGACTGTAAACTGAGAAAGGCTTCCACTATTTTCCATCTCCAACCGTCCATTCCCTTTAGAGTTTCACAGCGTGAGAAGGTTTTTTCCCCATCCACAATGGAAAACTAAGAGCACAGTTTAACTGCTGATTGGACTGTTAGGATTTATGTTAATCCTCAACTGAGTGCATCAAAGCTGAGTTGGGTTAACGTCCCTTTCGTCAGCTGAAACGTGATTATCCTCGCTCTGCAGCGGCTAACATGCAGAAGTTTGAGTCTTGTCATTAGTGCTGCAAATGACAGAGATCCACGGGGAGGCAGAGAGGGAGCAGGAGGAGAGATGGAGCTGCGAGCAGATGGGGTTAGAAGGAGATTTGAGCCATACCAGAGCTTTAGTGCAGGCCACAATAGCATGTGTGGTGATTGTGTTGAAGGCTTGGCGTCGAGGGCCCAAGCCTCCCCTCTATGTGGGGGCCACAGCTTTCCCTCCTTCTTGTGGCCTGTTAGATGTCTTTGTTCCCCAGGCGGAGGCCAATTAAAAAAGAAATAAGGAAAAAGTAAAACATCACCACAGCTCTGCTCATGTATGACCTCTCCCTCCAACACTGCCCTGCTTCTTTTTTCTTTAACGTCCTCCTGGCAGCTCTCGGTGTCATGCGTGGGTCTGCAAACCCGGCAATGCTCAGGAATTTACATCCCCGCTAATTTTAGCAATGGGTTCCTGACCAGAAAACACATCCTCCAATTTCTGTCTATATTGGTCTTCCTGCATCTTTCCGTTTCTGCTCCTCTCAGCGGCCGTCTGAGGCTTATGTAGATTATTCTGCGAGCTCCGTCTCCTCCGAACCCCTTCATTTTCCCATTTTCACGGCATTCTGCGTGTCCTAGTCAGAGATTACTCACTAAATGCAGCCAAGCTCCTC